GTCTCGATCAAAAATACGTTATAGAGAACTGAGAGACGTTACATTTTGTAGAGAATTTCACATACTATCAGTCTAATTAATTCAAAGAGAATCCTAGGAGCTGAAAAACTTACTTTTTGGTTTTAGAGAGACTCTGTCCTTTGAACATTAGCAATTATTTTCGTCTTCGAAAACTGTTGCTAGAAGTAAAATTCTCTACTCAAACCACTATTTGGACTTTTGTTTAGAGTTTACATGGCAGCGAAAAGAAATTGAAAATAAAACTAGTCGAATAATTTTGGAAGTCACTGTATATAGACAAGTTTAGGTATGCGATTTGTAAACTATTACATGAATTGAACATTTAAAAAAATGATCCAATAGTTAATTAAAAAACTTTCATGAAAAATTAAGCCAATAAAATCCAATTTTGGTTTCAAATAGTTGTTCCCTTCGACTTGCTTGCTCATGAGAATAATGTTAAGTCTTGTATAAAATTGATTGAAAACAGTTCTTTTTTATTTAGTAGAAGATTCTGACGAAAAAAACAGTAATTGTTAATTTCTCAATATTTTTCAACATCAGCTCTTCTTCAGACATTGAAATCTCGTCAGTATGAGAAGGGCTAATTGCCATAAATTGCTTTCCTTTGTAAATATCTTTTATCAATTAGAGCTAATAATTGATTGTAATTCTCGAATTGAAATCCCATTCATTCCAATTTCGAATAGAAATGTTCGAGATCAATATCTTTTATTTGCAATTCGTTTAATATCGTATTTTCTTTGATTTCTATTATTTACTTGGATTTGTACAATGCACGAGTGCCCTAGTGAATGCACTAAGTTCAATATACTTGTGCCTTGAGTCTGTTATCAGCAGGATACCTTTTCAGATATCCTACTACCAGTATGTCGCACGATCTTGATTGGATACTCTGTTGAGAATTGTCTCAATACACGGATACTTTCCAGATACCTGCCTAGTTTCTATAACATTCCATGAAAAGTTCTTCAACAAGTTAGTACATTGAACATTTAGAAGCATTTTATAGTCAAGTACTAAAAAGCCGTAAAATACCCTAAGATACTGAAGTATCTAAAAATTCCTGTGACATACTAGTAGTTGGGTACCATGAATTCAGTACATTTAATAGATAACAAATTTGTTTGTAAATATAAATTAATTCTTTAGATAAACTTGTATAAACAAAAGCATCTCATTTACACTAACTTTATTTATAGTTGATCTTAAGAAAGCAATTTGTGTTTTAAAATTGACATGTAACGTAGTGATATCTTTAACAAATTTTTCTTTTAATTGTTGTTTATCAAATTTAAATTGAATAAGTTGTTTAAGAGCATCTTCTTGTTCAATAACATTTAAAATATTTATTTGATTATCAAGTTCATAAAAATGTTGATCAATAAATAAATGTTTTAAAGATTCTCGTTCTTGTTCAAATTCATATTTTAATATATTTAAACGATATTCATAAATATGACGTTCACCATTTCCTATTTCTGTATATAAATATAATAGATGATCAGTTATTTCAATTGAACTAAGAAAAATTTCTCGTATAAATTTATTATTTTCATCAAATTGATTATTTAAACAAAAATATTTATAATCAATTAAATTTATCTAAAAAGAAAATATTTCAAAACAAACAAAAAAAACAAAAGAAACTTTGATTTTTATTAAATTACTTTATGTAAAAAATAATTTTTAATTTCTTGTTGATGACTTTCATTCAATTGATGAATTACTTGTGGTTGTCGAATATGAATCCATTTGTTATTTAAAAGACGATCAATATTATATATAATCGGTTTTATTTTCGAATTATATACTTCTAAATGAGACATATAATTCAATTGATTGGGCCATTGTCGATGAGTTCGGAGTTGAATGTAATGAATTGATTTACGAGATATTTTCTTTGCTCGTTTCTTTTGCTTTTTATTTGACATGATATTGAATCTAAAATGATCATTAATGAGAAGAATATCAATATGGCGCTTTGTTAATACAGATATATGTCATATAAAGAAATCATTTTATACGAAATTGAAGAAATATTTAATAGAAAAATCAAGAGAACATTTGTATTTATCTTCGATAGGATAATCTTTTTAATATAAAAATTGTCTTTGCCTTCTCTAACTTGTAGAAAACTGAATAATTTAAATTTTAAAATGAAAGGACACTACCAGATAATATCAGAAATCTATCATCCTCTTAAATCTCACTCTGAATAGAATAGAAACGTTGAGGATAAAATTCCGTACATTCCTATCTATTTATCTTATTTTTGCTGAATGCAAAAAAAAACAATTTCGTGGTCCAAATAGTCTTAGGGAATCTATCACTTTTGGACGTTTCGAATAATAACTATAGCACCCGGAATTTTTTCTATTATAAACCCAAAATGAATACTAATAGCTTAGATCGACGCAATTTCTAAAGCTCTGTAAAAATGCATAATGATCATATTCACTAGTAAGTTTTCTTTTAGATTATGTAGAATCATACAGGTGTGATATTTTACACAGTTCGTCAAATGAAATTCTTAGAAATTTTTAACTTGAAATTATTTTCAAAAGAAGAAAATATTCAAATTTCCTGTAACAATAAAACATGTAGAACAGCTTTATTGTACAATAATAATATTAACATAAAGCAACAATGTGAAAAAATAAATCAGCAATTGATTTATTTCTATGTTTATTTCGTTTTGGGTGAGGTGTGGGTGTGAGTGTGATGAGAAGATCTATATCCACATCCATACCCACCCACACCCTTTATATCAATATTATTATTCTCTATCAAAAATCCATATATTTTCTTAAATGTATGTACTCCCTACAGCAACTATAATCATGGTACTTATTTATCTATTTAGAGATCCAAATATTAATTGATGCATAGGTAATATTGGTCGTGTATTAAGTCCTGTTGGTGGTGTAGGTCATGTTTCACGTATAGGTACAACATCTCAATCAATTAATCGTCGTTCTGAAGATTGTCTCAAATTATAGACTGAAAATTCAACAGGATTATTTATATTTAACAATTTATGTCATCGTTGTTATTATTAAAAACAAAAAACTAGTTTTGAATAAAAAAAACAAAATAAACAGAAATAAATTCTATTGTTAATTTATTATTTCACATTGTATTGCTTTATATCAATATTATTCTTGTCTCTCAAAAATCCATGTATTTTCTAAAATGTAAGCTTTATTGTACGAATAGATTGCCGATAAGTTCTTCCACTAGCCTAATATCTTTATACTCTATTGTTTGTTTATTCGCCATCGATCTTAAATGCTATCTTACTACGAAAAAGCCAGCATAACTGATATTTAGATCAGTTAATATAAAACAACTAATGTTTAAGTTCAAAACTTTCTTGTTTTCATAGCTAGTATGTTAAACTAAAATCAAGTGTAACAATAAAAGACGAGGAACATACAAATATGTATGGTGTATCCAACATTGCGTAGTTTGAGCTTAGCAAATGAACTATAGCAATATTTTAATGGTACACGTATTGATAGCTGGCGGAAGAATATTGATATAGGATTATGATGATATTGATGGTATCACATCATATTGCAATGCTCACATCTGTATGATTCTATATAATTGAAGAGAGAAGTTAATCCTAAAAAGCCGAATGTCCCTTCCAAGGAACATTGCGATAACTGCTATAAAAACGTAATAAAAACTATTTACGCAAAAATCAAACATTTCCTGAATTCACGTGTTCTGGTAGATCATAGAGGGAAAAAGAACTTACTCAAAACTAACTGTCAGAAAGTACAGTAGATTTTTAAAAACTCGTAAATTTTAAAAATGCCATTTTTATTTTGAAAATTTTGTCTGGTTATAAATATAACATAATTTTTTGGTTGCCTAAGCGACATCGCGATCCACAACATCAAATTATCTGATGAAACTATTCCATAAATTTTTAATTGACCTACTGATGGCATAGCCTATGGCTCATTGAAGCACTACGCGAGTGGGTTTTGGTTATTGTTAATCTTACTAGGGATTGTCGCAAGAGGGAAATCAAGGGAAGGCTACTCTCTCAATCATCGAAAATTTTCGATGATCCTCAGACTTTTGTGCCTGTAATGGAAACACCGACTCCATTCTAACCTTGAACCTATCTTGATAGTTCAGATTCTGCTTTCAATAACTACTTTGTTGGTGAAGCAAAATCGCTAGCACAATTATAAGATGATCGTTTTCTTTTCGTTAATATTGACTGTACGGTACTTCAATGACCCGACGAGTAAGGATCATATTGAATCGGAAAGTGTGTAGATACTGAACAAGTACAAAATATTGCTTCAATTGGTTCTTTGTGTGATAAAAAATAAATAAATAAAATTATTCCTAAAAGAAAATTCTTTTTACATAAATTGAGCAAAGTAGAGGATTCATGCCGCTAATACCAAATATTCTTTCCAAGGAGCATTCCATATCTGTATGAGATAGAAAGATTGATTTTTCAACTATAGTATGAGCATGTTAAGAGTTCAGAATCATCATTTTTATGATCAGCTTTCTCTCACTATAGAAAGTCCACTCGGCTTCGAAGGACTTATGATAAAGTAATAAAGATGTTATATTGTGGAGCATAGAAAACTCCGATGATCTATGTTATTAGATTTTCATATCGAGTTTATAATATAAGAAATTCTGGATACCATAATTATTATTCAAAATGTCCAAAAGTGATAGATCCCATAAGACTAGTTAGTTCACAAAAATTTTCTTTTGCATTCATCAAAAAGCAAGATAAGTAGACAGAAATATACAGAATCTCATGTTCTATATTTCTGTTCAATTGAGAGTGAGATCTAAGGAGGTGACAGATTTACATTCCTATACGGCAGTATCTTTTATCATGTTTATAGCATCAATTGTATGTTTAATTTTATAAACGAACAAATAAAAACATTTAAAAAGAAAATTTATATGAACACAATAAATTGATAAATTCAAAAATACTCTGTAACAGAATCTTGCTTATTTTCTGGTGTACTGATTTGTTTATTTATTTCTTCATTTAAATCATCAATGAGATTTCTTGTTAGTTGAATTTGTTCATCGTCATCATCAAAATGTTTTTTTAATATATTTAATTTTAATTGAGCCATTTCCGATGCTTTATCATATCGTGATTGATCATAATAAAGTATGCATAAATTATTATAAGTATCAGCAAGATCTAAATTATCCGATGATAATGTTGCTTGTTCGATTTCAAGTGCTTGAGTGTAACATAATAATGCTTTATCATAATATCCTTCTTGTCGATAAACAATTCCCATATTATTTAAGGTAGCACTTATTGATGGATGTGTTGATGGTAAAGTTTTTTGTTTTATTTTTAATGCATTTTTATAACAGGCTAATGCTTTCTCATAATTATCCATTTCTTGATAAACAGTTCCAAGTATATTTAATGAATCACCGAGTGATGGATGATCTGGTGCTAATGTAAGTTTTTTCATTTCATATGATTGTTCAAATAATTCTAATGCTTTTGTTAAATCTCCTCGTTTCTTATAAATTGCTCCAATAGCAGTTAATGTTGTTGCAATTGATGGATGATCAGGATTATCAACAAGTACCGCACGTTTCATTTTTAAAGCTTGTTCATAATATTCTAATGCTTTTGATGTTTGTTTTTGCTCTAAATAAATATTTCCAATATTATGTAATGTTCGTGCAATATCAAATGATTTTTCTTTTGGTTTAATTTCATCTTTTTGTAAAACCAATGCTTGTTCATAATAACCAAGAGCCTGTTTATATTCACCACGAAAATAAGCAACACGACCCAGATGAAAATAGATTTGTGGAACATCTTTATGATCTTGTGGTAAATCTGATAAAAGACGTTTTAAATATTTTTCAGATTTTTCATATTCACCCATATCACACATCTAACTCAATAAATGTGTTATTATTCTTATTATCTAAGACGAAAGAATAACTTACCAATCGACTAAATAATAAAATTGAATTTGATTCTTCAGCTTCTTTTCCTATACTCTCAATGTATTCATTCACGTCATATGATGATTTGTCTACACCTACAAAAGACAAATAGCAGTATTTATTTTTAAAAGTAATACAATAAAAATTCTCTCTGATGAATATTATCAAGACTTTTCCAGAACGTTTACTCATAAGAAAGGATTCCTATTTTACTATGATGCTGAAACTATCTAGTTTTTGATGATCTTGTTTTAACATAAATATTAATTTTTATTGTTTTGCAATCAATCAGAAAAAAGTGCGAGCTCGTTTGAGCTTAAAAAACATCATAATTAGTAATTGAATGCTTTATTTTTTAATGAACCTATTTATTTCTATTGTGCAATATTCTAATAATGAATGCAACGTGAAAAAGAATTTCAAAAAAGAAAACAAAAATTTCTCTTGTTGTCTTCACATAATCGAGTATGGTTTTCCTCTCTTGCAACAATTTAATACGATTTCCAAGAGTTTTTCAATGTCTTCAAGTCCACTATTTCCCTATCGATTCTGGTGTCATATTATCTATCATTATAATATGCTCAAATCCACAAAAATATAGCACTGATATGAACAACATTAATATGTTCTTTAAAATCAATGGAATAAAATCACACAATAAAATCGCAGTTTTGATCAATTTCTTAAGATTTGTGTGAAATCCGCTTAGGTGAACATTGAAATCAAGTAAATAATCACAATTAAAGACTTAATTGAGAGATCAAAATTTTGGAGCAGATTCAAATTCCTTCCACAAATTCTTGTAAAAAGGCTTATTTCCATTAATACTGGCTATACTCCATAGTGCTTAGTGGTATGCATTTTTTTATAAACGTAGTGCCCAACACGATGACACAATACTCAGCAAGATGACATACTGCAAAACAGGACGGTATAATGTTTAGTAGTATTCATTTTTATTAAAAAGTACTAATCAGCTGCGTGCATTTGGATCAAACAACAATTCTAGGGTTTCACTCAGCAAGATAGCATCTAAAAGTTGATAACATTAATTAAGAAACATTGACTAGTCAAAAGTAGATCAGAGGAGTGTCACTTTGAAATCCTATTTGACACTCCGTTTTTGTTCCGTTGGTGCTTATTGCATACAAGTAATAATTATCTCAAAAGATCACAACACTTATAATAGGATCAAAGCAGATTGTTCAGCACTGTGTCATCCTAATGGACACTACATTTTATTGAAAATGGATGCTGCTAAGCACTAGGAAGTGTATCAAATTTTTATAGGATGTCTGGTTTTTAGGGAAGTCAATGAGAGAGATTTGAGCTCGGACTGAAAGTTTCTTGGACCGAAATTCATGTAACCTACTTGACTAATTTGTAATATATCTCAATGATGATTTACTCAACGAAAAAATTATTCCAAATCTGTAATAATTAATAAATGAGATCACATTTTCTTAATCAAAATTGAACAGTAAGAAGAGCATTATGAAATTATTGAAAGACATTCTCATGAAAGATCTCTATCAACATTATACTAAACAGTAGTAGGAATGTCATTTTTCTGTTGATTTAAAATAAATTTAAATTTCAAAATAAATTTAAATTATACAAAATTTAAATTATTTGCACTTAATTTAAAATTTATTAAATTAAATTATTTTATTTATTTTTGATATTTCACCTCAATCAGATAAACAACGTTAAAGTTTCCGAACGAATATATATTCGGTCAAAAAACTAATGTGTTTTGAACGCATTTACATGTGCGCTTTTTACGATTTTATTTTTGTTAAAATTTCAACGCAGTTTTTTGTTGTTGTTATTTGTCTGTTTGAGATGAAATATCGAAAAGAAATAGAATAATTTAATTTAGATATAAATTAAATTGAAAATAAATATAAATTGACACCCCTAGTCGCTAATCTATTCAGTGGTATACAATGGCTAAGTAATATAATTCTGTTATTTTGAATATCAATCATTTTAATGAAACTTGAAAACAAAGAAAAATAAAACAAGTATAATACTACCTGTTAATTGCATAGTCCATAATTTTTTTCCTTTATCAAATTCCACATGAACAATTTTAAAAACCGTTGCTAAATCAAAAAGAACTTCTTTTTCTTCTGGAAATTGACTAAATTGAGCAATGTCAGCAAAAATTATTTTATCAGAACCAATAGTTCCATTTATTTCTAATAAAACTCCGGCAACATCTTTTCTTTTAGATTCTTTAGTTGCAAATTTAACAGCTTGTTCAATATCTCGACTTGTTGAAAAAAATCCATTCATTGATATTAAACCACCAATACTATTACGCATTTGAAAAATATCATTACTTGACATTTTTAATCCACGATATAAACGAATTATTTTCGTTTTTGTTTTCTGACATTCTACACATAATTGTTGATGTTCACTGGTAATTTGACTACGTAAATGAGTTATATAAACACGAAATGTATATAAAACATCAATATCTTCTGTACGTAATGCTTTATTAACTAATCTATAAACAAATGATTGTTTACTGTACCAAAAAATTGCATCTTCTGGTTTCTTTACAAATAAAAAGTTTCATTTAGAAATATAAAATATTATTATTATTTTTTTTTTCCAAATAGACTTACATAATTTTTTCTAAATTCTTCAATATTTTTTAATTCAACAGGATTTCCTCGATAATAAGCTTCACAATGAGTAAGCATTTCTTCAATTCCTGTATTTTCTTTATCTGCTATTGTTATAGTTTTTATAACATCAGTTAATAATTGAAACCAAAGAAATGCACCTGATTCTCGTGTTAAATATCTTGTTGAACGTTGTTTACCATCAAATAAAGCAAAAACAGCTGCTTGTTTTATAACTGATTCAACATTACTTATAAGTGATTCAATTAAACTTGTTTGTTCAGTAAATACATCAATTACTTTTGTATATTTTTCTTTTAAATATAAATATTTTTCAGGACACATACAAAATATAAATATAGAATCAATTCGTTTAAATGAATGAATTTTATCAAGATGTTCAACAGCATATGAACCTGATATAATTAAAAAAATTGTTTCTTTTGAAATAGATTTTAAATAATTAATACATAATTCAGGTTTAGTAAAAAATAACACATAATAATTTAATTCTCTTAATAAACCTTTTGTTATTTCAATATCTTCTTGATTTTCAACTTCGTCCATATATTGATCAAACCATACTACAGTAAAATCTTCAGAAGCATGTTCATCACTAATACCGAGTGTTGCTGACTTTCTTCTTAATGCATTTAAATCTATTGGTAAACTAGAAGCCATCGATCTTACTGCAATATATAAACTAATCAAAAAATACGCAAGTTATGTGTTCTAATAGATGAGTATTACAAATGAATATTATGAATAACTTTTTATAATCAGTATGTTTTGACTACACGGATGATTGACTTCATATAAGGGAAAATTGGTAAAAAAAAACTTAATGCAGTCTTATGATAAACAAATGTTTGTCTCGTGTCTTTAATGACATGCCGAGGTAAAACGATGTTGCAATTTTTATCCTTCAAAATAATGAGTGTGAATAATATTATTATTCAATAGACTATCATGTATTTCAAACTAAAAACAGTTGATTAGTGCAATCCTTTTGGGACTGAAATGTGAAACTTACATGTATTCTTCAGCTTCATTATACTAATATTAATTACGTAAAGTGGAAAATTTCTTGCAGACTATAGTTATTTTCCATGATAATTGATCAGTAGAGGTGAGATCCATCTTATTTATTTCTACATTTCGAACAGAAATTTTTTTCTATTTTTTGTCTATCTTGTTACTATTCGCTTGTTGTTTTTCTTTTCTCATATTTTCGTTTTTCTTAATTTAACATTATTATTATTATTATTATTATAACCATTGATTCAACTGACAAATAAACTCATTCTACATATTTATTATATCCACAGCAAGTCTCAATGCACTCTTATATATCTCGATGAGTTCACAAACACGGATATTGATTATTTTCTAAAATTATAATTAGATCAGTTCGCACTATTTTTTTATTGACAGTATGACGAATGTAGCAAATCAATGCATCATTATTCATTATCCTTGACATCGTAAATATAAACTTTTATTTACGCAAAAAACAAAAACTGTACTATTGACAATATTCACAAACGTATTTCAGTCATTGAAATTTCGAGGAAGATTTTGGAATGTTCTAGAGAAGTCTGAGTGTTGTTGTTAATGTCATTTAGCGGTTTTTTTTCTATCGCTAAGGAACTCTACGAAAAGAGTCGGACGACTGTTGTCCTCAATTACTAAGATATGTAATAGAGAGGAGAGATTCGCAAAATTTTAAATTAAAACTTACACTCACTATTTTCTTCGACAATATGTAGGATATTTCATAAGTCTTAAGACGTGATAAAATTAGTGTTATATATAGACTGAAAATAATCTTTAATCGAATGTTTTAATAATAAACCTTGAGTACTTGTGTCAATCGTTCGAATGACATATTATTAGATAATATCTTCTATTGTAATAATAAATTTTTCACAATCGATCAATAAGATATTTTCTTTAAAAGAAAAAATGAAATCTCATTTAACTATTATGTACTTATTATCCACCACTTTTTCATTAATTTGTCAAGTTTCTCTTCAAAGTTTTATCAATCATTACAAGTTATTTTTCAATCTAGTTTTTATTTGTTTAAAGCTTGAAAATTATTCACCTCGTATGTTTTCCCTTTAATATTGCTCAAACACTTTTAGTTGGCCATACGCCAGCAAATTTATCGTCACAGTCTTAGCGTACAGCTCGATTATTCAATGACTCATCAATAATTTCAAAATGTAATCATTGTTCGTTGTATTTCGTTCTGCACGTGACATTTTCCTATATATATATGTTATCCATTTCAACTCGATTACTGAATACATAGCTCAACTGTATATGTAACTAGTGAATTGTGATGAGTACCGAATAATTGAATAAGATAAATAATTATTCGCTTAAAAAGTTATATTAATTGATTGTGAAACATTTATTCTCACATTCTCATGTTTATATTCTTATTGTTACGCAAGAAGATATTACCTTGTGATATGTCATGTGAAAGATTGACACGAGTACTCAAAGCTCATATAAGAACATTCGGTTAGGAGTCATTTTCAGTCTGCTTATAAACTAATTTTATTGCATCTCAAGACTTACAAAACACTCAATACAGTAAAATCTCAGTATTGTGAACATTGTCGAGACCATTTGAAAGTGTTCACCATTCGGAGGTGTTCAATTTAGAGAGTTGACATATTGTTTACTGAGAAAAAAACCAAAGGTATCAGAATATCTGCTTATACATTAGCCTTAGATAAAAATCTGGTTATTTATTCTCTTGTTCATCTATTTTCATCTAAAGTGTTGGAATTGAAAGATTTTTCACTAACAATACAAAATTTTTTTTTTCAAATCATCTAATGTTGTTTGTCTTTTAGCTTTTAAATTAATATTAACATCAGTCAATATAGATTCTAATTCATTAATTAATCGACGTTATTTTGATTGTTGTGTTATGCTGCTAATAAATGAGCTTTTAATAATCATTTTCATTGCTTGGTGGTGATCCTGTTAATATAAAATCATCATCATCATCAACGCCATCATCTTATTCATTGGTATCCAATGTTATAAGACGTTCACATTTATTGAACGTAGATGTATCATTATCGATATCAATAACTCGCATACATAATATGTACATACTCATAATACATAGGATAAAGGTAATAGACAATAGAAAGAAATAAAAAAAATCATTGCACATGTGTTCACTTTAAAGAGGTTATTGTAGCAAGAGGAACCACGAAAAAATATTTAGATGAGAGAGGAAGACATTTCCAGCAAAAATTACTCTGTCAGACCTGAGGTCGTTCATAATTAGGAGGTGCTTTCTGGTGGAAGTTTTAATGTATATGAGCTCCACAAAAAAAAATATGATTAAATAAATTTATAAATAAATAGAAAACAATTTTTATTTATTTTTTTAGTTGAATTTTCATTGAACAATTTGGACATTCAATAATATCAAAATCAATTTCATTATCAATTTGTAAAATAGTTCCACATCGACAAATATATTCATCATCATCATTAAAATCGTTCGAATCAATATTTGTATGTGGAAGAGTATGTAAATGATGACGTTCTTGTTCTTGATCATATTTTAATCGAAGTTCAACATTTGAAAGAATTTTATAAGAATATTGAATATCTTCAAAACGTTTTCGATTTATTAAATCATTTGAATTTGTTTTATCTGGATGATATTCAAGTAAAAGACGATGATATACTTGTCGAAGAATATCCGATGAACAATTTGATGATACACCAAGAATTTCATATAAATTCATTTCTACAACAAATTACAATATTTTCTCCTTTATATCTTTTTAAAAAAAAATTTTAATAAATTGTTCTTCAAAAAAAGAAAACGAAGAGATAATAAACACAAAAATATCTGACATATAAAATAATTGAAGACTAGATTTAAAATCAATTGTTTGATGAAAATGTTTGAATTTCATCAAAAATAAATTGACGATAATCATCTATTGTACAAACACAAGTCATATCATCACTCAATGAAAATGGTATTGAACATATTGGCTATAATTAATTAACAAATAAAACAATTAATAAATTCTATTCATAAAACAAAACAAAAAAAAAAATAATTTCTTTACTTCATCATCTGGATCTGAATATTGAGTTAAATATGGATGACTTAATGCTTGTTCAGCTGTATATCTTAATGATGGATTAAATGTTAATAATTTATCAAGTAGACCAAAAGCTATATAAGAATATTTTATTTATTTATCAAAAAAGAAAAAAGAAGATTATATTAACATACCAAGTGAACTTCCTCGAGGAAATAAATCACTAAAAATACGTTTTGCTTTAAATGGCATTCGACTTATATAGGAACAAGCCTTTTTAATAAAATAAAAAGTTTCTTTTTTTTAATAATTTATTTAATTTTAAAAAACAAAGAAAATCGTACTCTTGGATCACGAATTGATGCTAAATCATCTTTTGTTGGTGAACCAATTATTGAAAAAATATGATTTAATTGATCAACATAATGACGACCAGGAAATAATGGTTTACCAAGGAGCATTTCACCAAGAATACATCCACATGACCATAAATCAACTAAATTAATTGGAAAAATGTTTTTTTTTGTTTTTGAAAAACAATAAAAATAAAACATACTTGATTTATGATAACAACGTTGGCTAACCATTATTTCTGGTGCACGATACCATCGTGTTGCAACATATTCTGTTAATAAACCATCATCTCTTGCTTTATCGTCTACTGTACGAGCAAGACCAAAATCGCAAATCTTTTATGAATAAAAGAAAGAGTTAATTAAAGAAATTCACAAATATTTTTCGTTTTTACTTTCAAATCACATGATCGATTTAATAATAAATTACTTGGCTTTAAATCACGATGTAAACTAAAAAAAATAAATTATTTCATTTTTATCCTTAATGAAATTAAGCAAACATCATCAATGGTTTCATCTTCATATCTTAGCTACGAATAAATTTCATATGAGATCTATAGTTTGATTTTGTAGTGAAGACTTAAAAATGAGTTTGGACGCTAAATCTTTTCGTACATTTTTAATATTTTCACTATTATGATTAGAAAACTAAATGTTGGAACTTTTATTTACACATCAGCTTGTAGATCAGAAGCTACCCTACAAAATTCGTTATTTGAAGTCTTTTTTTATCTTTCGACACCGTTTTACTTTGAGAGGAGCTCTTAAAAAAAATGCTTGTAGCCTCACTTGAGTAAAAGTTACAGCTTAGTTCAATATCATACTTTGTAAAGAAGGGTCCGCTCTACAAAATGACAGACTTCGACAACTTTTCGCATGTTTGAAAAGGAACTTACGCGTTAAACAAAACCCTGTTAACTCACCATTAAAAATAATTTTTCAGATCTTTCAAAAAATCCCTCAGTACTCTTCAATAAAAATAGATACAATATTTCTAGGCCCATACTCAAATTCTGGTCGCGATCTATAGTTTTTGCCTCGTCCGAAATGCGTTCAAGCAGGCAAAGATGAACATGTTTATTCACTGGAGATCTTGGCCCACAAGTTTCGTTCAAACTAATTGTTTAGGCTTTTTAAGGTTATTTCACTACTCACAAACAAAAACTAATGAGGAGAATTCTCCACGTGTGACTCATCAATCGAACTGATATTTTACCCATAAATACATTCTTATGAGACTAGTAGAAGCCTAAAAGATTTCATCCTCATGCGTTGCCCGTCCCTAGTTATTACAATTTTACTGAGTTTTTTTTATCTTTAACAAGATTTTTATGAGAAATTGAATTATGAAATTTCAATCTAAGAGGATGTGTTATTCTTGAGGTATCGAATGTTGGAAACACTGATGAAATTCTCTAATGCAATTTTTTCACAAATACCTTGACCAAGATAAAAAGAATTCAGTAAAATTGTAATAATTTACAAAACATAGTGTATGACGACAAATCCTTAAAGGGTATTCCATAAGTTCTGGATCTCAACAAAAATTAGTTTATATCTAAACAAAAAGTGATTTCTATCAAACTAGATCTATATGAACTTCGAGTACTTAGGACAATGTTGTAAATGACACTATCTCTGTTACAATAGCAATATAAACAGAAGAAACATGATAATTCAGGTGGAGGTATAAAGGGCACACACACCCTCGATTGACAAGTCAAACTTGACGATGGACCTTCATGAAATGAAATTTCTAAGCCCATATTCGAAAAGAGCACAAAATCACAACCTTTTACTTGTCGGAAAAACCTTCTATTGAACCAAAAGTGAAGAGACATCTTGTTGAAAATATTTCCGATCACCTGGTCTTTACAATTTTTTAATGAATTGTCGTCGCTAATATATGAAATTCAATAAGAATTATTTAATTGGCATACTTACACATTAGCACTATGTATATATTTAACACCTCTTAATAATTGATAAGTAAAATAAAGAATATGATCATCCGATAGAATTTTTGAACCATTTTGATGTGTAATTAATTGAGATAAATCTGTATCCATTAGTGTTTCAATTAAATAACTTTAAAAGAAAAATAAATTTGAATATTAAAATAAAAATAACAATTCAATTTTTATACGAACATATCTTTCATTTGTTCTAATGATGTTGGTTTAAGAATTTCTATTATATTGATTATCTTTAAAAAAAAAAAAGAAATTTTTTATACTTTATTAAGATAAAAATAAAATAAAATAAAATAAAAGAATTAATTTTTACATTTTCATGTTTAAGTCGTTCAAGTATTCGGATTTCACGTAATGTTCGTTGACAATTTGTTTTTGAAAGAAATGGAGAAATTTTTTTAATAGCAATATTTGTAAGTGTTTGAGTATCAAATGCCGATCTAAGAAGAATTTTCTTAATAGAAAATTTTATTTTTAAATGAAATAAATAACTTACATTACCATTCCATAAGCACCCGATGCAAGATATTTTAAATTAACAAAACGATTACCAACCACAAAATCTTGACCTCGAATTTGAATAATATTATTAGTACTAGAGGTCATTTTGTTTTCTATCAATCTGATCTAAAAAAGTGTCGATAAAAAAGATATTTTTTCTGTTAAGTTTGAAAGTATAATCTTATGCATTGAATCGAACAATGTGGTTATACAATATTTGATCAATCAATCAATTAATCATTCATTACATAACTGACTAAATGATCATTAAAAGCTTGTATAGATTATAAAATTGCGTTCATTGATTTGTCACATATAATTCTTTGTTAAAAAATGAAAAGAAAAACTAATTGAATCCAATAATCCATTTTCATTTAGGACAATCTAAACTAATTTTTCCATCATTATGATTTGTTATATTCTAAACCAATAAAAATATTCCTTTGTATCTCCTTCAAAATTTTCATTTTATTTCATATTGAACGATCGAAAGAATTTAGTAATCAAGACAAAACAAAACAAAATCAAATTTATCAACATAATTTTATCTGTATAATAGTTTCTTCAAATAAGAAACAATAAAAAACAAGTACATTTCGAGAAACAAAAATCTTTCCATGTTTTAAATTGGATTCTATCTAAATAAAAGGTCATAGCTAGTCCGTTGTGTGTTTGATAGAAAAGAAAAAAAGAAAAGAACGTCAGTGAAGTGTGATTCTATACATTTAATTCTAATACTTCATCCGTCTATCATACGCATATATCACATAAAACGAGTAAGACGTTTGAATTTTCTTTTGTTTAATCTATAATAATATATATATATGTCTAGTAGAAATCGATCATCGGTTTTCTTTTCATACGAAAATGTCTGGTGCTAAACGAACTCGTACAGATGAAATTTCATCTTCATCATCATCATCATCTCAGTCACAAACAACAACAACAAATGCAACAATGTCACCAAAAATTGAAAAACCATCTTCGTTTAATGGAGCTATTGAAGAAGATTATAACTGGTAAAGAAAAGTTTTCTTATTTAAATAAAAAAAAAAGAAACCAACCAAAGTGTTTTTGTTCTAGTCCAATCTGCTTCGAATTAATCAATGAAGCATTTGTTTCTCGATGTGGACATAGTTTCTGGTAAGAATTTTCTCTTACTAAAAAATCGATTTCAAATTTACAAATATATTTTTAATAACTAATCTTCTATATGTTTTTATAATTACTGAATTTTTATTAATCTATATAATTTGTATTTAGCTAAAAATGTGGCGAGCAGTTTGTGTTGAACAAGCTGATTACCAGAAATAAGTAGGATTCATCTTACTTTTTTTTCGTTCTAGTCAAAAAGAAAGTCAAGTTTGGTCTGATGGATTAGTCAGTATAGAATTTAATATTCTTTTTAATGATTGTTTAGAAGTTTGAAAGACTACGTTGATATATTATGATCTATTTCATCACTATGATCTTCCTTTTTTCGATACTAAATTAGAAATGAACAAGAACAATTTTTTCCTTTTTGAGTTTTAGTCTTGACAAAACGATAAATAATGACTAGATTACAATCAATGAGAATCTTTATATTTTGTTCACATCTTGCTCAGTTGTCATTATTCAAAATTGATTTTCATATGCAAAGATGGATGATGAAAATCTCTAGAGATTAATATCAAAGCAGCTACGCTTAAGATTGATGAATAAAACGTTAGACAAGTAATAATATGAATTGTTAACTTGGTTAACTTTGAAAACATGTTTTCACAAACATTTGAATCGTTTTTTTTTCTATCTTTGCGACAAATCTGATCATTGATGAATATATAAACCAGGAAGGTACAAGGAGTGACTGTGCACTTTC